TACAACAATGAGAACACCAATCAAATTCAACTTGATTGAGAATATCTGTAAGAGCTGTAAGCGTTTAAGTACTTGAGCAGCATCAATGATAAACAAATGAGATCTGATGCAGATGTGAAGTCATGGATTGCCAAGAAAGAAGACTATTCTCACAAATGAAGCAATTCTAAAAATCAAAACAACTCTCAGCCAATAACAAAGTCAGATTTTTCAGTACTGACGACAAAAATGACGTATTAAAGTACTAAAACTTAGGTTAACGTAGATAAATATGGAAAATACATCTTAATAACAGACATACAAGCAATCTATGAATATTTTATGGTGATACTTGAAAGTAATCAAATTATACTCATCATCGTTCAAAATAGTAATATTTACCTGCATTATTCAGCAAAGATTTATATTCTAACTGTTAATTCATTTCAAGACAACTAAAATTCCATAATCACGAACAAAGGTTTTTAGTGAACATCAAAATCCTTGTATTCTCCCGAAAGCATGATGGATTTGGTCAAAAAGCAACGTTGACATTAGCCGTTGTTAATCAGGTCATCTCGACGACAAATGTACCTTTCAAATATTTCATTCTGAATAAAATATACATTTGATTTGAAATTCAAATATCTGGTTCAGTAAGTTGGAAATGTATGGTTGTAATTAAAGAAAACTGTTCATGCATTTGAGTTTCATGTGTTAGATCTATTTTCCATCTGACAGACTCATTTCTTATCTTCCCCAATTCAATTTACTACTTGACATTTGTCAGTAGTTTGAGTAATGTTCGGATATTTTACAACCGCAGTAGGTAATTCTGTGTCAATAAACCAAAGATTTGTACTCCTAATTTAATGTTTTATTTCATTTCTTTTATACAGATTATAATGATTAATAAGGATGAGAACTTGTAATCTGACTTTAAACACAGTTATATCTGTCTATAACAGAATGATAATATGAAGCAAAACAATTTCACCGATACAATTAACAATCTATGAATTATTTTAGGATATATTTAAAATTATAATTAAAATTATTAGCTTACTTACAATCAGAGATAGTGACTTTGATTATTTAAACGAATGTTCACTCTGTCACCAATTTCAGGCTGAAACACAACAGTCTCCTTGGAAGAGTGTTCATATTGAGAAATTTCGTTCATTTAAATACGCAGATTATCAAGAGGTGATCAATCAATTGTGATTACATCTCAGTCCTACACGAGGTCAGTCGCGGCCCGGATAGCTCAGTGGTAACATCTCTGACTGTGAAGCTGGGTGACATGGGATCGAATCCGTCAGGGAGAACCAGTCCCCTCAAGATTACAGGTACACCTTGCTGACGAGTGCCAAGTAGCACGAAACCCGGGTTCAGGGTTTCCTGTTGACTACCTCCAACCACCATATAGTGTCTACTTCCAAATAGCAATGTAACGGTTACCAATGAAAAATTTAATAAATGAAACTGCGGCACGAACTAACTAACATCTCCTGTCACAAATGTCCTGTTTTTTTGATCGTCTGAATAACAAATTACCGCGAGTAAATATATCGACATTTTTTTCAAATATAAATATTAATCATGTATTAACTGAGCTGAACTGATTCACTAACTTCATTTCATTACTATTTGTTTTCAAAGCAACGTCACAAGGCTAAACAAATGGAGAAGAGTATGATGCAATTAGAAAAGATTAGGAAAGTTACTGATGAATTGTTGTATCAATGTATTCCTAGTACGGTGGCCAGGAAAATTCGAAACGGCACTCCAGCGATCGATACCATTCAGGTTCGTTAACATCATTTTAAATTGTAATTATATTTTTCCAAAGCTATTCATGCTATAGAAACGGTTATATTAATGATGTCTAGACATGAACACTTTGGTTGGAATCAAATACTTCATGTAACGAAATACTTAAACAATCTATTTCAGATATTCTACATTTATGCTTAAAAATCACCTTATTTTTACAACATTAGTCACATTTCATTGATTTTGGAAAATAGATGGTACTCAACGATATGCCGAGGAAACTTGCCCGTTGCTACTTCATGAGTGCACATGTAACCTCCAACATGTGATCCTATTCTCTCGATTTTAGATAGGTGCTTTCTTAGACTTATTGTACTGCTAATCACTGATTGATAAATATGCATATATTTAATAGAAATCTCAACATCGAACTCAAGATACTGTTGTGTATATTGGAAATGAATTTCCTGTATGCATTTGACATTTCCAATGTAAAAACATGTCAAGTAACTATCTGACTGATTAACACTAATTATGTATGTATATATGTCAGTAAATTATATCATTTTTAGGACACTCATGGAAACACTTCTTCAAGTTGATACTTTGTTTATACACTACCAACAGTGTCTGTTGTGAAAAATTAGCTCACTTAAACGACGGCCGGTCATTTATTCGGTCATATGTAAATTTACTCTGAGAAATTCGCTTGCACCAAACGTCATAAATTTCACTTTCTACTGATTGAGATATCACAATTATAGCACTGTATTACCTATAACATTCTACCCGATGCTCAATTTCTCTAAGATGTTCAAGCCTGACCTCGGTAATGATAACAACGATGACAACTATAATTTTCACCAATTCAGAAGTGTCAGTCGGGATTTTGACTAGAATGTCCACACTCGAACAGTTCTAGATTGGAGCACTCTCCCATTAGAAATGTCATCTAACTATGTAGTAAAATTATTCTTCGAAACATCCAAACATCTAACGTCTGAACATTCATTTCTAACGTCAACAATAGTGGCGTGTTCGTTTCACAGCTTGTACTAACTAACGCATTTGCTTATCGACCAGTATCTATGTTCATATACTGACAAAACCTAACGGATTTTTACCATCCAACCAATCTCTCATTCCCTCTTAGACATTTGATGAAGTGACAATATGTTTTACGAAAGTGGTGAACTTCGCTGCTAAATGTATGCACATAGGTGTTGAACAAGTGATAGAGTTATTGAACAGAATGTATTCTTTCTACGATGCTTTGACTGAAAATCATAAAGTCTACAAGGTAAATATATTTTTATCCAACCATACTATTCAAGTATCTAGATGTTTTTAGTAATATAATCCATGCATTACTCAGACCGTATTCATCAAAAATAATCAACATTGGTTCATCACAAATCACATGTCTGATGCATATGTTTCTCCATTGTGATCGAATACTTCACAGTTAAAACTATAATGCTCGACCAACTTTTCAATACTTAAAGTGATATTGGTTCCGAAACTTTTACAGAGTTTGAAAGAAAGTCGTAAACTATTGAAAGGACATTTGTAACAGGGTTGACGTATAGTGTGGATTTAGTATTATACAATTGTTAAACTAGGTAGAGAATGCAAAACAAGATCTGGTGAGTGTATTGGAATACACTGAGTGTTTCCAGTGCACTCAACTCATTGCTATCAAATAAGATGGCTTTTGAGGAGTATGTTGATTTAGAACCTCAGTATGTATTCAAACTGAAACCACAAATTCATTGTAGCTGACAGAAACAAATAAAGAATAGTCGTTTAAGTACAAACTTTCTCTTCATAAATGAAGCTGGTTCAAATAGAACACTTGAGGTTATCTCCAGACGCGTTCATTGATTGATTCAAAACACCAGTCAGGTCATCATATATGACTACAATTTAACAACACATTTAACTGACTTAAGAGTTCTTATCAGATCCACAAATCCAACCGGAAGACCGACAAGTGTGGAAAACCAGTAAGCCCAACCACTTCGGACGATGATATGTTTTCAGTAGGGAATGTGATCCACCCTCCGAGTGGAGTGCTACTGTGAAGATAAAACGGTCAAACAACAACAGGTCTGTAATATTATTGTACTTCTAAAATGTAAGACACAGTCAATGTAACTTCAAAATAACTCTGATACCTACCTACCAACCTGGGAGATGACTTGACCAACATCTATCTCATGTTTACTTCTGATCAGACCTGAGAGACAGTAATGTGATAATCTGGTAACAACACTACTGTACTTACCGGTGACTAAATAGATTGGTAGACAAGCCGATCATTTAAAACATGTTCGCAAGACAGTATGTGAGTTGGAAATTGAACATCAAACCAAATAGCTTATTTTCACAAAATAAAACACTGTGTAGTATACTAAACATCGAAGTCAGCTCGGTATACCTATAACAGATATATGTCTGAATTTTTATCTCATCATAAAGACTGAATATCATGAGGAAAACTATCAGCGGGATTCTTTAATAAAATCTAATCATTTTCATTTTATTGAAACAACTGTATATTTCAAATCAACCGTCTAACAAATACATGTACAGAAAAATTTAGTTGGTGAGGGTTCGCTGACAAGATTTATGAGTACAGCTCAACTCAGTACTTTTCAAAACACATGATCTTATCTTTGATAAGATGCGATAAAGAGGCTGTCGTTTGCTCCTACTCTGTTTTCTACACTTAAAACAAAATTGTCAGATCGTTACTTCTCATAATAAATGAGGTTTGGTGAGAAAGATACATCTATTCGCACAGCTCGCACTTGGGATAATGATTTCATCCAACTAATTTCACTCATTCTAACATGCTAAGTAGTATCTCACTTTCACATCCTGAGTTTAAAATTTATCGCCTGACGAATAAGCACACTGATATTTCTACTTGTTTACTGAATATACCACTTAATGAATCAGTAATAACTACCATATAATCCGGTTCTTCTGTATTTCCATATCACAGTGACCTGTAAACACTAAGAGTCGTTTCATTTCATTAGTCTCATAATTCGAAATCAGTACTTTTATTTTGATGAATCGACAAGAAACCACTCCAAAATTTGATGTCATTGAATCCAAAGACAAGACAGTCATGTAGTTTCTGTTTGATTTGAATTATATTTTGCGATGAAAATCCGACTACAAGTTTGATTTCTATTAACAAATAATTTCCACTCTACTCATTTATATTTGGAAAGGTTGAAACAGTCAATGACAGTTATATGTTGGTTTCTGGAGCACCACACAGGACCCCATTACATGCTGCACACATAGTCGACACAGCATTAGAAATCATAGAAGTAACTCTACTCAGTCTCTACTGGCCAGAGTCAAGTGGAAATATCCCAGCTAATAATAAGAATAAAACTGTTTATACAAATGAAAACCTACATCTTTACATTGGATGTCATACTGGTCCAATTGTTGCTGGTGTAGTCGGTTATAAAACACCACGATATTGTTTATTTGGTGATACAGTGAATACTTCAAGTAGAATGATGAGTCATGGTTTAGTAAGTTAACTTATCTACTCACGATGAGACAATGTAGTCGATAAAATAATGACTACAATCACTTTTTGCATTTTTAAAGTTTGGACATAATGATCGGTTTATGTTATTTGTTATTGAGCTACATAACCTGTGGATTATATCAGAGGACTGAGATATTTATGTTGTTGGTGAAAGATATGAAAATGCATAGGTAGTTCGTCAAGTGTGAAATGCTGCTTATACTGATAACTCAGCGATGAAAACAACAAGTTTCCGGTGGTTCAATGAGGATTATGAACGTTCCGAAGATGATTGTTTCTGGGACAACAATTGACTTCCAATGTTGACATAAACATTGGACGTATACACTCCCTTATGCGTTTCAACAGCCAGTTCACTCTCCGGATAATCCATGACAAACCGAATTCGGTTACATTGTCTGATCACCAGAACCTGACTTGTTATTACCCGTCGGCATGCTATGAACAATATGAAACGGAGACAGAGCAAGCACACCGCCACAAATGGTGAGTATGTGTACGTTGGTTGAGTGTGAAGCACTCCCAATAAGGGTTATCATGTACCCGGCAAATAATTTATCAGAATAGGGTTGTTGAGATTGCTGAGTTTGGATTGATATCATGAATGGATCAGGTTCTCAATGGTGGTTCACACCGACTTACTGGATAAGTTCATTTCTGAATCAAAATGAGGATTCCACAGTATAATTACTATTGTCACTATTAAAACGTGGACAAGATTTTCAGATTGTTTTAACTTTTCGTCTGGAAATTCTGTGATCAGAGTGAGTGAAGTCGATCTAACAGATAAGTAACTTTTTGTGAAAACTCACATTAGGAGAGAAAGCCATTATTTGCTCATCAATAAATGCACGTTGGTGTTGACGTACATACAATTGAGCTTCCATTTGTGAAGAAATTATGACTGCGTTGTAAATATTTTCATTGTTACTTGAAACAATACACATAAAGATACATAAGATCTGTAAGACAGGAATTGTTAGAACATAGATTAAAAAGTTTCCAATGGTCTTTGTTTTACCAATCTATCTCAATATATTTTACATGTAGTTCTGATCACTGAAACACTGATTCAAGGTTAATAATCTTCGAAAGTTGATGAGCCAACAGTTTCATAGATTAGACTTTCTACAGACGCGATTCTCATAGTGAAACAGTATTTCAATCATTATTAGAAAAAAACTAATCATAAATGCTGACAAATTTGTCTAGGAAATATTGTATTCGGAATGTTGCAACCCTAAACTTTGAATCTAGTTTCAAATCAAGTTAAACAAATTCTTTCATTTCTCAAATAGATCTAGAGTGATCAAACGATAAATGCAAAATTTCCTCACTGGTTTAATCAATGTTGTGTAAATCAGTAAATTCTATTCAAGTCATTTTTCCATAGCTTTTTATTCCGAAAATAAAACCATCATCATATGCTACACTGTTGCTTTTTATTCAACATTTATTCTTCACTTTCATGTACATTTCTCACATTACCAGCCAGACAAAGTGCATATTAGCGAATCTTGTGCTCAGTCTTTATCACCTTATCCATATGAAACAGAATGTCGAGGAGAAATTCCAATCAAGGTATTTTATGCTGCAAATTTGCTTATCATTAATCTATATTCTGATTGAAGTAATTATATATGTACATATTTTTTTAAAAAGAGCGTTATCATACAAGTGTTGGGTTGTGAGTCGATCATGAATTCACATTCGATTATGGTTGGCTGAAATCAGATTTTTCGTGAATCTATGTCGCAACATGGTGGTTGATACCGATTTTGATACGACAAACTATTGTATAGCTTTAGACTAACCGATTCATGAAGTCAGTTATTTAAGTGAGATTTACCGGTATGTTCGAGACAACTCTATTAAAGGATTTATTAATTAAAAGATCTCTTAGTGTAGACAATTGGTTAATTTACAAAAGTTTACTTAACGTAACTGGAACAGATGTCTCGTTTACTCATCTTTCTGAAGTTCGATAAATATAGGGGTGGATTATGCTATCGGATAAGAAGTTGAAGCTCTCTGAGCGATCCTATTGAGTAACAGTGACCCATCAAGATTCACCTACTACTGCATAAATGACACGAACTTCATATAACCCCACTAGGCCTACCAATAAACTATGAATTCAAGTGTGATGAAACAACAGATACCAGTTTAAGGCTTGTGATATAACTGAGCAAAGTAATCAGTGTTCTAATCTATAAATCAACAGATAACTACAACGATAAACTCAGGGTTTATTTGATAAACATGTTTAAGAGTCTAGTTAGGAAAGGCAACGATAAATATGATGAATCACTTATCATGCTTGTTATTCAACAACTTCTAATTTCAAGATAGACGAGGTTTACTCTGAGTCTTTTCACTTCTTAAAATTGAAATAAATTTTTCTAGCAAGTTCACTTATAACATCTATTCACTGTAATTCTTCGTAGCATGACTCACATTTACGTCTACTTGTAAAGTATTATGAAGTGTTTCTATTTCGAACTATGTATATATGAACGTTCATTTGTGAGAATATTTTCATCAGAGATCTTCTATTCTCTGATATTATTTCGGACCTCGTATGACTAAGAGTGATTCATATTTTGAATCATGGTAAACAGAGTAATCGAAAATAATTGTTTCCTCCTTGTTGCAATGTACCTGAATCTTTTTTGATGTCATGCTGAAACTCAAACCCAACTCCTAACACTTTGAACACAGGGTTGTAAACCGTACAGCAACTGAGTCATGATATTCACTAGGTTTATCAGGAAATAAGACATTTAATATCGGTACATTCATTCGAGGAGTTTGTAAGTCAACAGAAAATGAAAATACAAACAATTACAATTGTGAATAACAGTTATGAATAGAAATTTAAAATTATTTCTGAATGTGGAATTTTATAACACACCATAAGTACTATTTGCCTAATTTCCTTCGTTCAACTCTCAAGGGATTGAAGCAACTCATCAATTGTAATATAAACTTGGTAATGTTCAACTAATTTCTGACTAATAACATAGAGTGTAAAGATGTGAAAAGGTTTTCACCATATACACACAGTCAGAAGAGCAATTTCATAGATGAAATTTAATGGGAAACCTGTCAAAATAAGTATTCGGAAGGGAAGTTCTAAAGTTTCAAGTCAGAAATATTTCTCTTTAATTGTCACCATACATGTACAGTGTATCTTAAACATGTGTTTCATAAATTTATACACAACTTTCAGGTCCTGAACCACTCTCAAAACATTTTTTTACGTTGACAGGGTAAAGGGAACATGAAGACATACTTCGTCACAGGTCGGAAACCAGAATTCGTCTTACAAGACACGACTGATGGAGGGAGTCGCAATTTTGCTGAAGTTCTCAAGGAAGACATGCTCAAAGACGATGATATACCATCGGAAAATTCGGATGACTCTGCGAAATTCTCCATCAATTTGTCCGACGCAAGTGGGACTACCGAGGAAGAGTCTCCTCCTGCATCTCCGAAGGATGATGTAGAACTAGAAATGAGTGAGAAGATATCTGAGAAAAAAGACAGAAAATCCAGTAGAGGTGGGAGTAGACGCTCAAGTAAAAGCGATCAGAAACGCCGTCAATCTCAGCCACTCTCTAATACGACTTCACCAACGAACGAGAATCCTGATGTCGAGAACCAACAGAGCAGCTCAGGTTTTGTGAACAACCAAAACACAACCGAGGTCCTAAATGAAGCTGCACGGCGTCTAGTCGAAACGAAAATAAAAGATGTAAAGAATGAACAGAAGAAGAAACAGGATATTACATTCAGTCTTGATAATCCCAAGGAAATCTTAAAAGAGGCTCCCAGCGAAGCGGATTTGCAAGCAGTGGACAACAATGTTGACGAAGCGACTTTGTTCAAATCGAAACCAAAGGCACCTGAACGTTCTAGATTGATTAAACTCAATCCAGTAAACAAAGTCTCCAGCAAACCCATCCAACCTACTCCTGATAAAGTTGCTGTGAACAATGTGAGTTCGGATGCTACTGAGAATGCACCAAATGATGATAGCGATGAAGTTACTCAAGAGATTGGCAATCAGGAAGACAGTAAGTGAATTTCCAGTTTTCAGGGAATTATGGTTATGTTATTACATTACATTACATTTCAAGCAATGTACAGTTATATTTCGTCAGACATACACTGTTTTATCATTCACTTTTCTCTAAACCATGAAATACCAGGTTATTAATGCCGCTATAAGCAAACCATAATATTCAGTTAACTAGAACAAAATTCAGAATAATGTGATTTTGGTTGTAAAGCCGACCATTCACTGGATCATCTTTAAAGTTCTTTATTAAGGAGACTGTTTAGCTTGATACACTGCAAACATTTGTTTGAAATTGTATGATCAGTGAACTCCTGAAACCACCCAAATTAAGTAACTTTTCGCAACGCGTTTCATCATTTCTCACTAATTTCTTCTATTATTACTCAAAAGTTACTGTGATAATTTTCTCAATATACATGTTTACAGTTTTATAAATTCACATCTTAATTTCTTATCAATATGTTTCGTTTCATTTGAAGCCGTCCAACAATACCGTGAAATGGTGAAACAGGGCCGTTTTGATCCGGTACCAGATTTGCCATTCTGTTCACCTCAGGCAGCTATATTCAAAGATTTAGGTGAGTCACTCAGTTCGATTACGTGTCTACTTTATTAGTTATGCAAATATTCGTTGACCTAAATTATACGACATACTGTTTCCTTGTTTTCACATCCTATTCATCGAAAACAGAGATATTGTTTGCTGCACAAATTTATTATGAAGTTCTGAATAGCAATTTAGTAAATGCCCACACTCGTTAATACAATTCATTATCACATTTGAAGGGTTTCATATTTCTTTTGAAGGTTTCAATTTGCATATACACTCATTACTAGTGCTTTAGTGCCTCTCTTATCTATGATTTATGAAAGTTTATCACAGCAATCTGATTGAAGATCTTTAGTCTTAGTTTATATCTTATAAATTTTATCCAGTGTTTAAGTAATTACTATCCCAATTAACAGCAAATATTGTCTGTACAACCATAAACAGGTTAAGGACCACTAAATTTCTCATAATCATCGTTCTGGTTGATCAGTGATAATCACTACAACTAAATTTTCCAGATCATGTACCCAGTTAACACTGACAAAATGACCGTTCGATGACTTGGTTACTTTCAATTCACTTTTGAAATCTTCATTTTCTCCATTTTTCAGTAACGAACTTCGCCACTTCACTCCACAGATTTAAACATTCAGTCTAGTCATCTCCATTGAAAGTTTCACTGAACGTGAAATTGGCTTGCGGAATATCTACTTAGTTGCGACAAAATTGGATAGTTAGTTTGAGACGTGATCAATGACTGTTTCCTTCATATCTTAATGCAATCACGTGATATGTTCTATTGCAATCCGATAGAATCTCCTAGAAAGGTCATCTATTACAGAATGCTTACAGATGTAACAGTAACAAACTGAATACATGATACATGCAAAGTCATGTCCTTCATGTTTTCAATTAGACAAAACACTTCACTTATACATGACTGAGTATCGAAATCAAAGTGACTCTATTTATTAGTCCATTATGTTTTCGATTTCATTTCCAAATGATAGTCATCGTGCTCGTTAAAGTCTGTAGATATTATAATGTCTGGTTACATCGCTCTCATTTATTGATAAACGTAGTCGGTCATATCCATGATTGCAGAATTTGTCAGTTAGTCGAAATAAAACTATATTCTGAATTATAAGCAAAGATGAATGGTGGCTAGCATTAGAATCCAGGACGCGTGTTTCCCACTATTTAGGACTTGTCAGTTGGATGCACCTGTACCAGAGTTGATGTTCGCTCTGGGACTCGAACCTTATACCGTTCGCTTCAAACTCCATCGCATTATCCACATAGTTAATGAGTCCTGATAGACACCATCCGTCTTTGCTTATAATGCATGTGACTTAAGGCAATATTGAGGTAATCCACACAGGATGCACATATGCTAATAAGAAACTGATCAATTGCAGTCCTAAACATCAATGGGAAGATAAAAACAAACATTACAAAATGAATATTCTGAATTGATTTCATTGTACTATTACATGATTAGTATTTCTCGTCACTATAATTTAAATGATTTACTATTGAAAAGAATTCAATATGCAGAAGAGATCAGTAGTAATAGTAGTAGAAACAGTAATAATAATTACTTACTTACTTAACTACGCCTGTTATTCCGAATGGAGCATAGGCCGCTGACCAGCATTCTCCAACCCACTCTGCCATCGGCCTTCCTTTCCAGTTCTATCCAGTTTTTGCTCATTTTTCTCATGTCTATCTCCGTTTCCCGGAGTAGTGTGTTCTTTGGTCTTCCTCTTCTCCTCCTTTGAACTTGAGGATTCCATGTGAGAGCTTGTCTTGTGACGCAGTTGGGTGCTTTCCTGAATGTGTGTCCTGTCCACTTCCATCGCTTCTTCCTGATTTCTTCCTCCACTGGGATCTGGTTTGTTCTCTCCCACAGTACGTTGTTGCTAATAGTGTCCGGCCGAAGGATCCGAAGTATTTTGCCAAGACAACTGTAAATAAACACTTGTATCTTCTGGATGATTGGTTTCGTAGTTCTCCAGGTTTCCGCCCCATACAATAGAACTGTCTTGACATTTGTATTGAAAATTCTGACCTTAGTGTTGGTTGCCAATTGTTTTGAGTTCCAGATGTTCTTCATTTGTAGATATGCTGATCTTGCTTTACCAATCCGCGCTTTTATATCTGCATCAGATCCACCATGTTCATCAATGATGCTGCTCAAATATGTAAAGGCATTTTACATCTTCCAAATCTTCTCCATCAAGTGTGGTGCATGCTGTGTTGTATCGGAGAATCTTTCTTTTCCCTTTGTGTATGTTGAGACCTACTGCTGCTGAGGCTGCTGCTACACTGGTCGTCTTCTCCTCCACTTGTTGTTGCGTTTGCGATCGAAGATCCAGGTCATCTGCGAAGTCTAAATCGTCCAGCTGCATCCTATCTGTCCACTGTGCCCCATGCTTCCCCTCAGATGTTGACATCTTCATGATCCAGTCGATCACCAGGAGAAGGGGCAAGGGTGAGAGTAAGCAACCTTGCCTGACACCGGTCTTTACTTCGAACGAGTCTGTGGCCTGTCCCCCATGCACGATTTTGCAGTTTAATCCATCATAGGAATTCTGTATGATAGTGACTATCTTCGGAGGCACTCCGTAATATCGAAGAAGTTTCCATAGTGTTGTTCTGTCCACGCTATCAAATGCTTTCTCGTAGTTAATGAAGTTGGTGTAGAGTGATGAATTCCATTCAGTTTATTGTTTTACAATGATCCAAAGAGTTGCAATTTGATCTGTACACGATCTAGCCTTTCGGAATCCTGCCTATTGGTCACGAAGTTGGGCATCTACATAGTCCTTCATCCTGTTTAACAACACCCTGTTGAAAACGTTTCCTGGTATTGAGAGAAGAGTGATGCCCCTGTAGTTATCACACTTGCTGTGATCGCTTTTCTTTGCTATTTTGACCAGAAGTTCTTCTTCCCAGTCTGTTGGTACTTGTTCCTCACCCCAAATATTATTGAAGAGAATGTTGAATGTCTTTGCAGTTACCACCACGTCTGCTTTCAGTGCCTCTGCTGGAATGTTGTCTGGTCCTGCTTCGATGTTGGGTGGGTTCAGTGGGGCTGGCCGATTCAAGAGTTCTTTGAAGTGTTCTACCCACCTGTTTCGTTGTTCTTCAATGTTGGTGATTACCTTGCCCTACTTGCTTTTCACTGGTCGTTCTGGTTTGCGGCGATTTCCAGAGAGTTTCTTTGTCGTGTCATACAATTGTCTCATGTTTCCTTCTCTTGCAGCCTTTTCCACCGTCGTTGCTAAATCTTCCACATATTTACGTTTGTCGGTTCTGATGCTCCTCTTCACTCCCGTGTTTACTTCTGTGTATTCAGCTTGTACCTTCACTTTCTCTGCTATTGTTCGACTGGTATTGATTGCTGCCTTCTTGTTCCTTCTTTCTTGAATCTTATCCAGTGTATCAACAGTGATCCATTCCTTGTGATGGTGCTTCTTGTGGCCCAGAACCTCATGACATGTTGAAGTGATTGTCTCTTTTGTCCGTTTCCAGTTGCTCTCCACAGTAGTTCCTTCTCCATTGAGTAGATCATGAAAGGTCTGGAACCTATTGCTGAGGACTATCTTGAATTTGTTGAGTTTGTTAGTATCCTGAAGAAACGCCATATTGAACATTTGTGATGTTGTCCGACCCATTGTCCAGTGCTTCGTGGGTTTCAATTTCATCTTGGCAACCAGCAAGTGATGATCAGATTCTATATCAGCTCCTCTCTTGGTTCTCACATCCTCCATCGTCCTCCTGAACTTTTTGTTGATGCAGTTATGGTCGATTTGGTTCTGTGTAGTGTGATCCGGTGAAGTCCATGTGGTTTTGTGTATGCGTTTATGTGGGAATACGGTGCCGCCTATGACCAGCTTATTGAAGGCACATAGATTTGCAAATCTCTCACCATTTTCGTTTCTTTCTCCCAGTCCGTGTCGTCCCATGATGTCTTCATATTCAGTGTTGTCCGTTCCAACCTTGGCGTTGAAATCTCCCATCAGAATGGTCAGGTCCTTTGTTGGGCACTTCTCGACGATTGACTGCAGCCTATAGTAGAATTGATCTTTAGCGTCTTCATTGTAGTCGTTGGCAGGTGCATAGCATTGGATGATGTTCATTGAAATACCCTTTTTCTTTGTTTTGAACGAGGCTTTGATGATCCTTGGTCCATGAGATTCCCATCCTATAAGCGCATTTTGTGCTTGTTTGGACAGCATCAATGCAACTCCTTGTGTATGTGGTGCATTTTCTTCTTCATGGCCGGAGTATAACAGGAGCTCTCCTGTAGTTAGTCGTTGTTGTCCAACTTGTGTCCAATGTGTTTCACTGATCCCAAGTACCTCTAGGTTGTATCTTCTCATTTCTGCAGCAATTAGGAAGGCTCTCCCGGTGTTCCACATTGTACGAGTATTCCGTGTACCTAAATAAATGGTTGCTCTGGTTGTCAGAAGGGGCATCGGCCTCGTGAATTCCAAGGGAACTCGGCTTTCATCATGAGGCGTCATAACTCTTCTAAATAAAGACTATCTGACTCCCACGGCAGAGTTTAAAAGGTTTGAATTATTTTTTCTGGTTATCGTTTATTTGATGAGTTAGTTTTCTACGGGATGGTGTCGCTAGCCCCAAGTGATAATAATAGTGTTATTATTATGATTATGAGTAGTAGTAGTAGTAGTAGTGTTAGTATTAGTATTAGTATAAGTAGTCTTCATTTTGTAAGTAAACAATCCGAAGTAGGTTGAATGAAATCTGTTTCTAATCTTCAGCTTCAAATTTTATGAGGAGAATCGATGAAAACTTTACAGAGTTTTGGGAAGAAAAACTACGAAAATTGAAAGACTTAGGGTGTTAACTCCAATGTTATGCCACTGACAGTGCACTTTCTAATGTAAGTTGGTTCAGAGTAAACGAATTTGGTATTTTTGTGTATATTGACCTCACATAGTCGATTTTTTCAGTTACTAAAGTTCGCTTCCAGTGTTACTGCTGTAAGATATTTCTGCCAGACCTAGTGATAAGTAATCAGTTCCCCTAAAAACCGATCGTGTTGGGAGAATAAAGTGCGAGACAACTGAAGATATGAAGTAGTGGTCAGTTTCGCGAGACATATTTTCATATGAATGTCAGCTAATGGACACGAATAAGCAACCGCTTACAATTCAGTATCTTCACTTTCCTTCATCGG